AGAAAAAGAGAAATCCTTGGACTGTTCTAGTCGCTGATTAACTTTTATAGCTTGAATAAAGATTAATATGCATAGTTTATGCATATATAATACAGTTTATGAAGATTGTTTTAAAATCACTTAAATTAAAAGTTGTTATATATTTCAGAGCCTATTAAATGTTAAAAATAATGGCTTTCAATTATACTGTAATGTTGAATGGCTATAATTAATAGGGAAAATTGAGGGAAAATGCACCAGCAGGACAAATTAAAAATATTGTAAAAATATTTAGTCATTGTAGTAGTAATAACTGCCTGTTTTTGCAAAAAGAGTTTCATGGCCGGTAAAAAAAAATTTTGGCCGGTAAATTTGATCATGTCACCGGCTATTGGCAGCTGTGGCAAAAAGTTAGTTTTAGGCCCTGGATAAGCACGACTGGTCTTGTGTTGCAGAGGGCATCTGTGAGATCTGGCTGACCAGCGAGGACACGGGTGCGTACGGCAGGGACATCGGCACGGACCTGCCCTCTCTGCTCTGGGAGCTGGTGAAGGAGATCCCGGAGGGAGCCATGCTGCGCCTGGGCATGACCAACCCACCGTACATCCTGGAACATCTGGAGGTGCGTCCTCTTCCTCTCACTAACCGCCTGACTACCCATAGTGCACTTCACTGTTAAGATCTTGCAGCAGATGAAACCTTACTATCAAACACTAGGGGTGCAGCGTCACACACAAATTATGGTTCACACTCTACTTCGGTTTTGAAGTCAGTATGGCAAGTGGAAAAAAACAAACAAAAATAAAACAGCTTTTTTTTCTTTGTTTTGCTTTTATTTTTTTATATGGTTTACTGGGGGGGGAAACTATGCACTGAGGAAAACATGTCTGAAATGCATTAAGCAGCACACGCATCTGACAGGAGGGCAAGCTGCATTAAATGCTTAATTATAACCGGAGGACCCATACTAAAACTTTTCAATACAAATATGTGTACCATTACACCTCTATGAGGCACACATGCTCTGTCTGGCACTTTCAAACTGCAGTGTGTTTGGCTTTTCCTTCGATTTTCACTGTGTGTGTGCTGCATTCACTCAATTAGGCGAACTCACTTTTTTTCCCTAGTAAATGGCAAATTATTACGGCGTCTGAGTAGTATTAGTGTAGATAGATTGTTGTTCTCTTGTTTGTGTGAGCAGGCCTAAATTGACTCATTCAGTCGCATCATTCTAGAACAATACCCAGAATGCCGTGCGTTCCCCCTCTGAGCCCCAGATGCCGAGGACACTCGTAATCCCAAGAAGTGCTGGGAGAAGCAGTTTTAATTTGCAGAGGGTTAATTGAGGTTGTAATTTTGTCCCCCGATGTATAGGTTACGTTTATGCTCTGTTACGTTCAAATTAAAAAGTGATGATATTTTTCCCCCTAAATGAAAAGAAATAACAATTAAATGCTAATTAGAAATGTAGGCGTGCTTGTATACGTGCTAGAGAACGGATATTTCTTTTTATGTGCTCATTTGATTTCCATCATTGGACTATTTGTCCTTATTTCATTTCCACGTGCTCAGCAAGTACTTTTAATTGCATGTCGTTGCTTTGATGCGTCTGTTTGTCTTGCGGGAAGCGGCGGAGCACGAGTTCACGATCACTGCTGCGCTTCTTTCTTCAAGTGATTGACAATCTCCATTGACTTCTGCTACACGAGCAGGTGAGAGTGTAGTGTTCACTCAGCGTGCGTCTCTGTAACGGGAGGTGAGGTACGTGGAAGGCACTCATGTTGCGTCAGACACTCTATAAGAATGAGGTAAAATGGTTTTCACCGGTGATGGAAATAGCAAGTGTCGTCTCAAGAGATCACATATAGACAGATGGGCTGAAATCAGACGTCTAAAACTCACCAGCTCATGCTTCCATTTTCTAAATCATCACAGGGTGGTTTAAGACGCACTAACACTAGAGCGTTCCTCTTCTTATCAGAACACATCCCCCTAACTTTACCAGATCTCCTCCATTTACTGGCTCTTAAGTGTTTTTTGTGGTGGAGAGCTTTCACAGCGCTGGTAAATAACTGTGTGATTCTGGAGGCTGTGGCTGTCTGACACCCTTTCTGAGGAGTCATTTAGCAGCATTAGAGGTGTTTAGCAGAGCAGATGTGTGATTTATGGAGCCTCTGTTCAGCGTTTGAAATAGCAGAAGCACCTGTCAGACAGGAGAGGACCGATCAGAGCAGTGTGAGAGAGAAAGAGACCTTCCCGTCTCAAATACAAAATTGACTCTTTCTGAAGAAAATGGTTCTCGAGCTAATAATTGTGCTCTTATGCGCAGAGAAAACATCCTTTAGACAGGTGTGCAGATGCACAAATATATTCATATAGTGCTTGTGTTCAGGGTTTTGGAGTAATGCATGTCTTAGTGAACACTAATGAGAATAACGCAATGATGAACGCTGGCCTCTTCGTTAGTTACGAATGATCAGATCGTGTGTAATCACTGCAGGTAAGGAGAGTTTTCCCCATTACCTTCAGTCTGACCAATGGAGCGAGTGTGTGGCAGAGCCCAGTTTAAATGCAGAAGAGCTGGAGGTTCAACTTTCAGTTTAATGTGCTGCTGATTGCACAAATCTCTCTTTGATGTCATCTTATTTCAGGAAGCAAAACTAAGCCAGAGCGTATCGCCTTCATTATGCAGTCATGAAATCTGACCCGCCGGTTAACCTGCCACACCGTACATGAATACTATAAGAGCTGTGGGGCTGCTGAAATCCAAAGACAGGCTCTCAAATCATATCTTTAAACTGAGAGACACGCTTTCTGTGCTCAGAGCTCCACCCGTGTACCTGATCACCATCCGAGCCTTGACCTCCAGGCCAGTAGCGTCCACTCGTGGTGTGCTGGAGCATTTTTCACTGGAGTACATTAGCCTTCACATTTTTCCTTTTGAAGAGCTTTTTAATTGGTGACCAGCATCCGTTTAATTCATCGCTGCTTCAGTCCAGCGGGTCACGGGAAGTCATCACGGCAAGCCTTTCTGAGAGCGACCCGAGATCTGCTGTAGTGCTCTCTCTCAGGTGAAGCACCCTCGACTGACGGCCGCTGATTAGGTCAGCTAATGAAGCGCTGCGCTCTGCTCCGGGTGCTGCTACTCGTCATGAAAATCATCCTTCACCACACCTTGATGACTAGAAGAACGAACAAACGCCCCGGACATTGTGTTTAAACTGTCTCGTTTTCCTTCGTTCACCCTCTTTTTGTGAGTAATTCTCACTAATTCTGCCTTTCAGGGCTGTTTACTGTACCGTGGAGTAAAACAGAAATCAGGTCTGGCCTAAAATGAAATTCAGGATCAAACACTGATAGATTGATTGATTACATGAGACATGATTAATTTCAGTAAGATGTGTTTCTTCTGATGTTCATTCATGTTTATTTGGTTCTTTAACTAGTGGTAAAGAGGACAAGATGATCAGTTCAGGCCACCGGTAAGAATCAAATAAACAATACCATTGCTACTCCAGCATTAGTGTCACACAGCTGATGTGTTTACCTGTTGTAAGGTAAACAAAATAGACACAGTCAAAATGTGCCATCAGAGAAACGCTAATTAAACGCCACTGTTTTAGGCCCTCATAAAATATTTTCGGTTGCTAAAATTTCTGTGCATCACCAATTAATGCCATATAATATAATATAGCTCCACTGATGTTCTGTGGGTCTTCTCGGGTCACACTGGAGAACATGACCATCAGGTTTAGCTCATGTAGACGTTCACATTCATTTTCAACTCAAATTGTGATGCTGATAATATAATTTATGGTGGAAAAATAGAAGTATTTCAGACTTTTGTACGTCAATATATGAAGATGATTATCTTTAGGTTGCTAGGATGTTCTGGGTGGTTTCTAGGGTGTTCTGTGTGGTTACTAGGATGTTCTGTGTGGTTTCTAGGATGTTCTGGCTGGCTTTTAGGGTGTTCTGGGTGATCACTAGAGTAGGTGGTTTCTGGTTAGTTTCAATGGTGTTCTGGGTGGTTACTAGGGTGTTCTGGGCAGTTTCTACAGTAATGGATGCTAGGGTGTTTTGGGTGGTTTCTGTGGTGTTCTGGGCAGTTACTAGGATGTTTCTTTCTTTTTCTTTTACCTTTATTTAACCAGGAAGAAACTAATTGAGATTAAAATTCTCTTTTTCAAGAGTGTCCTGGCCAAGATCGTCTCCTCAAAACACATGATTTGAGGAATCATTCATGTCTGTGGTGCCTAATGCATCAGCGTTTGCTCAGATCAGTAACCCCAGTCATGAGCAATACTGATAGTTATGCTTGACTAAACTGCGGCTAATTAAACCATGATGCAAAATAGAGAAATGAAATGAAGGTGTGAGGGAACTGAACAAGCCTCTCGCTGGCTGGCCTTGAATCTAGAGAGAGCGATGTGTCAACATTCACAGTTCAGTCAATTATAGCTCAGGCTCTGGAGACTCGCCAGAGCAGCCGCTAATTTCATCCCAAACACGGGCCATTTTCATATTAATGAACCGCCAGAGACTCTCTGTCCATTAGGGGCCTAATGTAGCATTGCATGGACAGTAGATGAGACTTCTTCAGTGTGTTTGTGAATGAGCGGCTGTTTGTCTGACTGAAGGACTGAAGCAATGAGACTCAGGAATGTTGGTAGTGTTGGTTGTGTTTTGTTGGTCCGTCTGCAGGCCCTGCTCTCCGGAGACTCGGGTCTTTAATCACAGATCCGGCCGGTGCTCTCGCTGTCAGACTCCTCTCTGATCCTGCGGGAACGCTGTGCTCCACTTGTCAGCTTTCACAGCTTGTTATGGGAACAGTCTCATGTTTTGAGCCGTTTATTGCTGGAATTAGATTTGTCCTGTTGCTCCATTGTGAAATGAACAAAGTTGCATTTTACTGACAGATTCATATTTAGAGAATGACTGTTATTATAGCAATATATGCATTGATAGAAATGTAATTAGCCCTCATATTATCTGATTCCAGTATCAGCTCGGTCAAAGCTTATTTGAGAAACTTTTGACTGTGAACGTGCTTGTATCTGTGCTGTTTCTCTCTGTCATCCATTTGACCTTCATACACTTCAAACACGAATGTACCTGTTTATGAATTCATTTTTTTATAGGAAGTATCTTCTGTTGAACACAAAAGCAGATGTTTTACAGTGACTGCTGCTTATCGAGCTCCAGTAAGGACACACACGCTTCATGACACACTATGTATGGTTTTTATGGATTGTGAATATGGTGCTTTGGATAAAGAGCATGTCGTGTATTTCATGCACACTTTCTCATGTTTAAACTTGCTTCATCGTGATCGGTCCTGTGGCATGTGAATGAGATTTGAGAGCTGCAACAGACTTTCAGGGAATACGTTTAATTTCATGTTTAATTTCTCATGCAGACACATCGGATGACTTGAAATAGAGCACACAAGTCATGTCACTGCTACTTCTGCAATGATTTCTGTCATTTCATGAATTCTGTTTGTGTTCCAAAGCTGAACTCCCCTTGTCATCAGTGATGTATGAATTGTTTTGTTAGGAGTATTTTTCTGTTTCTAAACACAGATCTGCTCTGTTCATCTCTCTTCTCTCGCTTGTCCTG